ACGCATAACTTCAGACTTCCTTCCCTTAATAGGATACAACGACAGAATGGCAAAAAGCTTACATTTTGCCTTTCAAGTAGTATTTGTTAGAGGTGTGTGTGTGTGTGTGTGTGTGTGTGTGTGTGTGCGCGCGCGCGCGCACGCTCAGAGAGAGAATTGAGGTTTTCCGCCCCCCACCAACTTTGATTAGGTTCCTATGTGGCCCCGGTTCTATTATATATAAATCTTTCAATCTTATTTTCTGCACTACCAACTGGCCAACTCCCTTTGGGATATTTTACTAATTTTAAGAAAGACATGGGGCTAATTTAGAGACAGGTGGCCAGAAAACAGTGAGGAGTCCAGAGACTGTGGCATATGAGGGAAACAGAAGACCTCAGAGAACAAGGTGTTTGTCTTCCAATGCTTGATGAGTTCTCGTCAGAGAGAGGGAATACTGATTTTATTAAGTGATATGCCCATCTATAGGGCTAGGAAAGAAACACGTAAGGAATTTAAGGAAAGAGTTCCTAGGGCCTGAAATAGGGTACATGCAAAGAAAGTTGTTCTCTCTCCAAGCTTGAGCAGTGAATCCAGTTAGTTGTCTCCAAAAAGTTGTGCACACACAGGATGTTCCATTGAGGTACAGGTCAGAGGTAAAAACACTGTCACTAAAATCATTAGGAAGAAGTTCATCGTTACTGTATGGAATGTGAGGGGGGATCAATAGCATGAACTTCACCTACTTGTTGGTTCTCAGCAAATGACAGTTCACCTGAGCCCAGCTACATCGATTTTCAATTTGCCGAGTTTTTTTTTTTTTTTTAAGTTTATTTATGTATTTTGAGAGAGAGAGAGCACGAGTTGGGTAGGGGCAGAGAGAGAGGAAGAGAGGATTCCAAGCAGGCTCCGTGCTGTCAGCAGAGCCCAACACGGGGCTCGACTCACAAACTGTGAGATCATGACCTGAGCTGAGATCAAGAGTCAAATGCTTAATGAACTGAGCCTCCCAGGCGCCCCACAAATTACCTAGTTTTAAGTAAAATAACCCATGAGGAAATGGACAAGTAGCTTTGAAAGATTCCTGCAATAAACTTAGATTGAAAATACTACTAAGAACACAAACCAAAGGAACAAATAAGCAAACAAACAAAACATGGTAGAACTGACACTTTTTATTAAGTTGTGTGGTCAAAAAAAAATTTAGAGACCCCTGGCCCAGCTGATCGTCTGTCACTGTTAGAATTGGAGTTAACACTGAACTTTGTAGCGGGGGCCAGCAAGTCCTTGGAAATCCTCTTTCTTTGGCAGTTGACTGTTCTCAGCAGATAGCCCTGCGTTGGGAGAAACCAGTCCTCTTCTGGCCTTCATGACCACTTCAGACCCTCTTCCTCCCTACGGGCATTACAACGCTGTGAATAGGCTGATATTTTAGCAATTATTCCAGTTTCTTTCCCCCCACCCCCCTGAGCCCTGTGGTTAGGCATAGTCTCTTGAACACAGTTCCAGCCCCCACAGAGAAGGTTGTTTCCATCAGTAAACAGACAAATGGATGTAGATAGATTAGAGTTTTTAAATACATAAAATCAGATACAGTTAGCAACCTATTGGAACTCTCAGTATCTTTCCTGGGCAGTCTGTTGGCCAGTCTGTGCTGCTTTATGAGTGGTACCACAAAGCCAAGACTCATCTTTGCCTGATCTAAGAAACCTTATCCTTTTGATCTCTGAAATCAAGATCAGGAAGAAAAGACAATAGTGAATGAACAATAGGAGCCAGGAGGCTTTGTGGACGTCTCCAATGACCAGTTGAAGGAGAGGGGCCTTGTGGAGGGATGGTCTCTCTGGCTGTGCTAGAGCTGTGTGGCGTTAGCTTTACTTTAAACTTGAAATTAAGTCTTTAATGGTGGGAGAGGAGGCATTGCTTCCTCAAGGACCCGGAGTTTAAGGAACTTTGGCTTGGACCAACTCTAGAAACAGATTAAAACATTCGAGGAGGACTTAAACTGGAAAAGAGTTGGGTATACGTGACTGCAGAAGGATTCAGGTCCTTCTGAATGGCTGTGAGATGCTCTTCCTCAGGTAAATCTGGACTCAGCTACTGTGCTAAGTGAACCCCATGGCTTCGCCTGTGCGCGTTATTTGTACTGAGGTTTCCCATTGGGTGGTGCAGAGTGGTTCCTGATATTCCTACACTTGGCCTGAGTTTATGCTGTGGACATCCTGCCACTGAGGGTGGCTGAGAGGAGAAAAGAGTGGGAACTTTTACTGGAACAGTAGCCTCTAAGGAGAACCTTCCCTGGGGAGGCAATTCTCAATTATCAGGCCCAGAGGCCACATCTTCCAGACTGATCAAGGAAAAGTTTACCCTCCTTTCTCTTTCTGTGAACCCACCACCTCCCAGTCCATTTTCTGGACAATGATGCCACCTAATGGGAACCAGTAATAACTTTCAGAGCATTTAAGTGAGGATGCCTACCTTTTTAATATAACTCACATTTCTCTGCTTTGTACTTTGCTACCTATTCAGTGCTGTTTGCAAGCTTCTGGTGAGGTCAGGCTCACCAGTACATAGGCAGTCAGGATTTCACAATACTGTTAAGTATTTTTAGATGGCCATAAATACATATATCAAAGAATCATACTGTACACTTCAAATAGATTTCAGTTTTATTTGTCAATTATACCTCAGAAAAGCTGAAAAAAACATTAATTAAAAAAAATTGGTGGGGCACCTGGGTGGCCAGGTCATGATCTCACAGTCTGAGTTCAAGCCCCGCGTCAGGCTCTGTGCTGACAGCTCAGAGCCTGGAGCCTGCTTCGGATTCTGTGTCTCCCTCTCTCTCTGCCTCTCCCCCACTCGTTCTCTCTCTCTCTCTCTCTCTCTCTCAAAAATAAACATTCAAAAAATTTTTTAAAAATTGGTACAAATGATGTAAATTAATGTAAATAAAAAACCAGATGTACACAAAGTAGAAATGAATGGAGATATACCAAAATGATAATAGGGGCTGGATTAGGCTAGTGTGGTTGTGTTTTCTAAATGCTTTATAATACAATTTGTGGGTTTGTTTTTTTTTTTGATTCATCATAAGTGTACTTTTTTATATAGACAGTAATTACAGTTGGAAAATACAGAAATAGAAACAAGAAAAACAAAATCACCCATAACTCCACCACTCAGACATACCTACTGCTTACATTTTGGTGGGTTTCTTGTTTTTTTTTTTTTTTTTTAACATAGCGTTTATGTATTTTTTTCTTAATTGTAATCATTCTGTGTGATTCTTTTATCATTTACTATTACTTTAGTAATCATTCTGTTGCTTTTATGATACCAAAAAAATCATCCTTTAGACAAAGCTGTTTCCAGGAAACCCTAATGCACCATTTAAATACATAAGGTTCCAAGAAATCTGACCTTAAAATAATTCTTATACTCTTATTCGTGCTGTTTGTTCGTGTACATAGAGATACCTTCAAAAGCCAGTCAGGGAACAGGAAAAAAAGTAAGGAAATGATTTTAGAATTTATAGGTAAAAGTCAACTGAGCCCACTGGGATTGAGAGGTGATAGGAAGTGGTTCCAGACCCACAGCACCTGGTCATGTGCCAGCGCCACCTAGTGGTGTGGGTTATGAACAGTCTGAACTCTCTGCCTCGCATAGGCGGGTCTGGGAGCTGGACTCTCCTGGTTGGGGACCTTGCTCCAGTATTCTGCCTCTTCTCTCTGCTTAGCCTACTGAAAATAGAGCAAGACTACCTGTCAGCACACGGATATATAGACATACGGATCGAGATTTGCATTAGGAGCACCAAATGGGCACTGTGAGAAAGAAAGAAAGGGCTCCCAGAGTCTATGAAATGAAAAATTCAAATGGAAAGACAGCAGTTTGGAAACGTAGCCCTTGGGCTGCCTCCAGATCATCCTCCATATTGCAGATCTCTTTTCAGAGCAAATCTCTTCTCCACTTGTATGTAATTAATTTACCTTATTATGCAGGAAAATGTATGTCAGTCCTTTCTGGCAGATATATGTTTGGGCTCTTGGGGAGGCAGGTAGGACCAGAGAAAACACTCTGGTTTGTTAAAGCTCTAAACGGCCGACATGAATCCAGTTCTGCCATTTAGTAGCTCTGTGTCCTTGGCTATGGCTAAGCCACTTAATCTTTCTGAGCTGTTTCTTCATCCCTCGAATGGGGTCATCACAGCTTCTTTGCTAGGTTATAAGGAATAGATGTATTGCCTAGCCCTGTGCTTGTAGTGAAGGGCTCAATAAATTGTAGCTCTTTTTTTTTTTATATAATAAAACCCTGATTGTTAACTCAGATTGGGTTAATAATTTAATTCAGTTCACCAATTCTAGGACTTACAGGTTTTTCCCACTTTAAATCTCAGAAATCAGGATGTGTCAGTGGCATGCCAGTGGTTTTTTTCCTTCTTAACAGTTCTATAAAATAATGGTACTTCTTGCATTTGCTGGTGTTTTCAAGGAAATGTGGTAATTAGGTTAGCTGTGTTTGAAGTGCTACAGGGAGACCTGTTTTAAGTGCTCTTGGACTGTGTCTGTAAAGCCTGAACATGACAGCTGATTCCATGAGGTCTCACGGTGACAATTCCCCACTGGTCTGTTTCCCAGCCTCAGACTTGAGCTTGTGAGCTACTATTTCTATGAAATTTATTTGGAAAGGGTGTGTTTAACCTTTTAAACTTCACTGAGATTACACAGAGCACAGATGATAACTCAATCACCTATATATAGCATTTTGTACTGCACAGCATACATGGAGTAAATATATGTTTTTTTAAAGAGTAGGTATGTGGGAAGGTGAGTGTAATCCCTCCTCTAATTCTGTTGGTTCTGTCCCTGCTGTGTAGACTGCTACTTTCTTTCCAGGGCTGTCTGAGGGCTGGATGGGCTATTGCATGGAAAATACCTGGCACATATTGGACACAGTAAATAACAGCGGATTGTATTCTCTGTCTCCTTGGTAACTATGCCTAGTCTTTTTCTCTCTTTCAGTCTAATAAAGTTCCTGTTGTTCAGCCCCCGCATCACATGCACCCGTTGACGCCCCTCATCACCTACAGCAACGACCACTTCTCCCCTGGCTCCCCTCCCACACATCTCTCCCCAGAGATTGATCCAAAGACAGGTGAGTCATCTGCCGCCCAGGCTGGCCCCTGTGCAGAGAGCTCCAGTGGGGCAGGCTTGTCTTCTCAGGGAACATAATGACCCTGGAATCGGCAGCCCTGGGTTCAGGTCATGTCTTCAACTCCCAAGAGCCCATAACCCTGCCTACTGACATTAGCCCTTTCAGTGTTTTCATCCACACCTCCTGTGTCCCTTCCGCATCATTGAGGCATTGTGAGGATTAAAGGAAATTCTATGAGGCAGTGTCAGGGCCTGGCTCCACAGTAAGGAGATGGCACTCTTCTGCCATAGATTCTTTACTTTATTTAGACTCTCTTAATACTTTGGGGTGCAATGAGCTGGAAGTGGGGGTGGGTGGGAATCTTTTTCACTGACCTTGAACTCTAGCCCAGCTGGAGGCTGTGCCTTCCTAAACCAAGACCTTTGCCTTACACTGAACATTTTCAAATAGAGTTACCAATCTAGCCAGACTTCTAAGTATAGCTTTAAAGAGGTAAGGCCGAGCTGGATTTTTCTTTTCTTTTTTCTTTTCTTTTCTTCTCTTTTTTTTGAATTGCTCACCAGAACTGACCATCTTAGGGAAACATAGCTTCATCAAATTCCCAGAGTTGCAGTGGCTCAAAGTATTTTTGGAACCCCTCTTTAAGGAAATCAAAGTTACTGTAAGTTACAAATAATGAGGAGGACAAAAGTGGAATAGAAATCCAAAGTTTACTTCTCCATGAATGAGGCAGGTTTTCTAAAGGGGTAGATAGCTGATGACTCCGGAGAATGTCTTGGGTCTCTCAGTCCAAGATTTCTGGCCCCTTTCTTGGATGACTCCTATGTAAGCAGCTGGAAATTACTCCTGCTGATAGGTGGGATCCATGTAGCCAGAGAGAGCTGGCTGTGTTTGTCCTGCCTTCCTTGAATATGTCCTTGACTCACCAGCCAGCAGAGCTGGAGAGATGACAGAAGGCAAGGACAATGAAAGGCCTTCCGTGCTCCAGCACACTTGGGGACATGGGGCAAGGGACTTCCCATTTGGTGTTATTTTAAGGTGCTTTGGTAGGGCCAGGGAACAGTCTGACACATGTCTCTTTGAAGCAGGAATCCCCCGGCCCCCTCACCCATCTGAGCTGTCTCCATATTACCCACTGTCTCCCGGAGCTGTCGGACAAATCCCTCATCCTCTCGGCTGGCTCGTCCCGCAGTAAGGAAACTAGCAGACTTTCTTACCCTCCTTCTTCCTCATGCTGTGCTCGGCCTCCTGTACCTCCAGCGTGCTCTGGGATCTGTGTGCAGCACCCCCACCTCCCACAGTGGAGCTCTCTCATCAAAGCCCACAGCTCAGACCTCCCTTCTCTCCCTTGGGCAGCTAGCTCCCCACTCTTACTTCCTACTTCCTGCCCTCTGTCTTTCATCCTTTCTTCCAGCCCCCTCTCCTTCCCTGTCCTGAACAGTCCCATTGTAACCAGTATGCTGACCAGATTTCCGTGCTCCCGGCCCTTATAGGCAAGGACAGCCCATGTACTCCCTTCCTCCTGGTGGCTTCCGGCACCCCTACCCTGCCCTCGCCATGAACGCCTCAATGTCCAGGTGAGTCCCGGGACTGGGGGCTGTGAGCATGAAGTTCCCTTGCAGAGAATGGTCCTCTACTCGTGTCCTTGTCATTTGTGACCATGAAAAGCTTTCTCTTGGCCCTAAACTGGGAGGCACGGGCTCACCTTTTCTCCCCACCCCTCTTTGCCGAGGCGCCTCCTCACACATACTGTATGGTCGGAATGCAGACCACAGACTCGGCTCGTTCTTTGCCCATCTCTCTAAGGGAAGAATTTCAAAGCCCTAGTACTCAGCATCCCCACACGTCCCCCCACCTGCTGGGCTTTGTGGCACTGAAGCCAGAGACTGGAGATGATTAGTGTTTCCTGAAGTGATGTCAGGAGAGGGAACAGCAAAGGGGGCTCCTGTCCCAGGGGCCGGATCTACCTGACAATGGTACCTGTGGTCACAAAGGAAGTGGAACCCACGGCATATGGTGTGGTTCCCCATTGCGGACACTGGCCTCTGACCCGCCACACCTTCTTTTGGATTTTCATCCTACCTGCGTCCAGTACGAAATACAGGAGTCCTGTGCGTTTGTGTGGGAAGGGGAGGTTTGTTGGGTGTTTCCCAAACCTGGTTCTGTCGAGGTCAGTGAATGGGCTTCCGTTCCTCAAAGTCTGCCGTGGCAGAGGTATTTACCGAGCTCTGCCATAAAGGCAGGCAGCCACCAGGTCCTCTGCCGGGTGACAAGCATTCAGCCTGAAACCTCGTGTTGTCACTTGTTTCCCCCCTGATACACAGCCTGGTTTCCAGTCGGTTCTCTCCTCACATGGTGGCTCCGGCCCATCCTGGTCTGCCCACCTCAGGGATTCCCCACCCCGCCATCGTCTCCCCCATTGTCAAGCAGGAGCCAGCACCCCCCAGCCTGAGCCCCGCCGTGAGCGCGTGAGTATCAGGCAGCCTGGATGGGACGGTGGCCAGTCTCCAAGCGGCAGATGCCATTTATTTTTCTCCCTGGTGGCATTTAGCAGGCAGCCAGCAGCCTCCCTCAGCCATACCCTTTCTCCTAGGAATTGCTCCCTTTGACTCTCTGTGTCCCCACCCTCTCAGACATCTTTTCTCACAGTGAGGAGAGTTTTACAGACAGGATTTAGAGGCTGAAAGAGGACCTGAGAATGCTTTTGGCTTCCTTCCCCCTCTCCCTTACGCATGAAAACATGAGCCCTTAAGGGAGGATTTTCTCCAGGTCCATAGCTGACCGGCAGCGGAGTTGAGACTACCAGCAAGGCCTGTGCTGTGTCCACTGAGCCATGAAGACAGCAGGACAGCCAAAGTCCACGCCTCATGGCGGGGAGACTCCCTCTTGCTTCTGCCCAGAGCGCCCTGCCCCCTTTCCTCTCTATCACCTGTGACGGGGGGGTCTCACCAGCTCCTCTGCTCCTTCAGGGGCCTTTCGTAGACTGTGGCCTGAGGTCATCCCAAGGCTGAGGGCTGCTTGTGGAAGACACTCGGGGGCTGTAAGCAGCCGTGGCAACTTGAATGGATGACAGCCGGTCATCCCTCCTCCCTGCGGGCACTCGTGAGGGGCATGGATTGCGGGTCAGGTGACAGGGTGACCACTGACTCTTGCTAACCGACAGCTTTGTGACTCCCCAGGAAATCACCAGTCACGGTGAAAAAGGAAGAAGAAAAGAAACCCCACGTGAAGAAGCCTCTTAATGCCTTCATGTTATATATGAAGGAGATGAGGGCCAAGGTGGTGGCCGAGTGCACCCTGAAGGAGAGCGCGGCCATTAACCAAATCCTGGGAAGAAAGGTAGGATCCGCTGTTTCCCTCCAGGCTGTGCGGGTCAGCGACCCCCGCATTCCTGCTCCCCGTCATCTCTGACCCTCTCTCCGCAGTGGCACAACTTGTCCCGAGAAGAACAGGCCAAGTACTATGAACTGGCCCGGAAGGAGCGGCAACTTCACTCCCAGCTCTACCCGACCTGGTCAGCCCGGGACAACTACGTACGTGTCCCCTCGGGCCCCGACGCAGCATCTGCGAGAGGAAGCGGGGAGGGGGACGTGGCTGCATTTATAGAGGACACTTAAGGCCAGGGAGAAGGCTCTATTGCTCTAGAAATAAGGAAGGCATTTTAATTCTCAGGAGGTCAACAAGGACATGGTGTTGACATCCTATGGACCGAGGTAAATCTGTACCCTCTCATTTGAGGTGGATTCAGCCTTCGAGTCCATAAGTCAAGGTGCAGTGCGAGCTATGTTCTGGCTCTGGTGGCAAGGGTGTCACCAGCCAAGGGTTCTGAACCTGGGGCTTGGAGAACAATGTATGAGCCTCAGCTGGCATTTTTTTCTAATGTTTATTTTTAAAAGAGAGAGTACAAGCAGGGGACGGGCAGAGAGAGAGGGAGACAGAATCCAAAGCAGGCTCTGTTCTGTCAGCCCAAAGCCCGACATGGGCCTCGAACCCATGAGCCATGAGATCATGACCTGAGCCAAAGTTGAACGCTCAACCGACTGAGCCACCTCAGCTGGCATTTCTAATAACTCTTCGAAACAAGACAGATTTTGTATGTCTGTTCTTATTTGCTGTTTTTTTTTCTTTCTGGTGAGAGGCCTCAGAACTGCCTTAGATTTTCAGTGGGGCCTGAGTCCCCTCAAAAAAGATCGAGAATCACACTGGAGCAGTGCCCAAGGGCACTGAAGGGTGAGGCCTTCCAAGGAGGCCAGGACACTGGGTTGGAGGGGGAAGAATCGAATGGGGAAGGGAAGGCACCTTCCAGGAAGGCTCCTCAGAGGCTTCTGTGGAGAGTGTGACCTGAGTGACTCCCCTCCACCCCCAGCTTCTCACCCAGGGTCAAGGGCAGTATGGGCAGTATGTTCTGTCCCCCTAAAGAGCTGTCCCTGGTTACCCCTTTCTTTGGCCATAATTTTCAGGGTAAGAAAAAGAAGAGGAAGAGGGAAAAGCAGCTGTCACAGACACAGTCCCAGCAGCAAGTCCAAGAGGCAGAGGGTGAGTCCTAAGGAGGGCGCTGGCTCTTCTTCCCGCCGTCACACTCGCGCTTGCCTGTGGGTTGTTCCTGGCTCTCTGAAGGGTACAGCGACAGCGCTGTTTCATAATAGCTGCCATTTTCAGGGCCTCTGCCTCTTGGGAGCCTCTTGCATACCCAGGTGAGTGTTCTTATTATCCCCTTTTTAGAGATGGCAGGTTAAGAGGCTCAGAGAAGTTGGATCTTCCCAGTCATTCCACTTGTTAAATGGCGGAGGCAGGATTTGATCCCAGCACTCTCCCACTTCAAAGCCTAGGCATTCGGTTCAGTTGAGTTGCATCTTATTTGAGGGTTCTCAAATAAATGTATAAGGTAAAAATTGGAGATATTTGAAATGACCTCTGGAATTCAGTCGGGAAGGGGGCGCAGCAGAGACCGACATGCCACCTATTTGTGAATCCAATAGAAGCAGGTTTCCTGCAAGGTTTGGTTGGTCGAACCCCGAAAGAGTTTGCTTGGTATGGGGACCGCTTTGTGCCAAAATGATGTGCTCTGTCTTTTCACACTGCGGTCACACCTGGCACGGAGATGCTCATGCGGTGACAGGCGTTTAGGTCATGCCCCTCACCTTGTGCCCCCACCTCATGCACACCTCCGGACAAGTGTAGAGCAGCTGGTACCAACATGCCGTTATTCTCTTCTTCCTCCCTTTCTCTTTCTTTTCTTTCGTCTATATGATTTGTACATTCGTTTACGTATGAGGACACATAAGTAAAGTGTGTACGTGCTGCCCAACCCACCGTATACCTCCCTGCTTAGCAGGTGCTGTGCCCTCTCCGATAGCACCCTAAGGCAGAGATTTTAAGGCACATTGAATGGAGATCTGTCTCCCGCAGTGGTAAGATTTAGGCAAGGAAGGTGACGGTGCGATAGACCGAGCTGTTTTCCCTGCTATCAGATGTGAAGAGGTCTTTGTCACTTTGACGTTGCCCCTTCTCCGTGCTCCAGGTGTCCCTGAATGCAGCTTCCTGGTCTTGAAAGCCTCAGATGTAATTTCAGGCCCTCCCTCCCCTCCCACTGGGCATCCTTGTGTTCTGCCTCACCCACAGCCACTAGCTGCTCAGCCTTTCGTGTATCTTTTTTCCCCCGTAGGTGCTCTGGCCTCCAAGAGCAAGAAGCCATGTGTTCAGTACCTGCCCCCCGAGAAGTCGTGTGACAGCCCTGCCTCTTCCCACGGCAGCATGCTCGACTCCCCGGCCACCCCCTCCGCGGCCTTGGCGTCGCCTGCTGCCCCTGCTGCCACCCACTCGGAGCAAGCCCAGCCCCTCTCCCTCACCACCAAGCCGGAGAGCCGGGCCCAGCTGGCTCTACACTCGGCCGCCTTCCTGTCCGCTAAGGCGACAGCCACCTCCTCTGGCCAGATGGGCAGCCAGCCCCCACTCCTCTCCCGGCCCCTCCCCCTCGGGTCCCTGCCCACAGCTCTGCTGACTTCCCCCCCCTCCTTCCCCACCACGCTCCATGCCCACCAGGCCCTCCCTGTCCTCCAGGCCCAGCCTCTTTCCTTGGTTACCAAGTCTGCCCACTGAGCTGCCCCCTGACCTATGCAGGCCGTCAAGTGACTCGTCAAGTAGTAATGATTCAGAAGAAACAACGGAAAAAAAAAAAAAAAAAAAAAAAGGAAACTTTATTGGTCAATATTTGACCACTCTGGACTGTTCTGTAAAGTGACTGGTAACAACAGCACTTTACGTTTTGTAGATGTAACCAGTAGCTGATCTTAAGGCTTTTTTAAAAAACAAAACAAAACAAAACAAAAAAAAAAATCTTTAAAAGAAAGAGAACTGAAAAGTAGCGTGTTATTCTTCCTGTATGTGCAGTGGTGGATGGGCCTGGGCAGAAGACCCCCTTCTCTCTACCTCTTTCACTGTTCTCATCGCTCCCACGTGCCCCCCTCCCTTCCCAGTCCGCATGTTGGCCATCGCTGGGCCTCTAGCCTGCTGCCTCTTCATCTAGACGGCGCTCCTGGACATTTTCTTTTCCCTCACCAAGTGTTTCTCCTTTGCTCAGCTCCGTGGGTTCTTGCCTTCATCTCCGTCCTCTGCCCAGGGTAAGGCTGTCATCACGTGAGAAGCCACCTTTGCCTGATTTGTCTCCACCAGCATCCCTTTTTCCTCAGTGGGCCCTAACCCAACAACCTCCAGCTTTTGGTGGGAAGAGAGGTCCTCCGAAATGGTTCTTCCCCCACATTTAAAGGGATTCAAGGTGCCTGCCACTTCCTTGGTGAAGAAGTCTCTGTGCCACCCCCTCACCAGTCCAGACCTCTTCTCCTGGTCCCAGAGTGGCAGACGAGACCTGGCCCCCAGGCCTGGCTCTTGTCCCCTGGGTCAGTGCTAGCACAATCTGCCAAAGGTCGAAACTCCCTCCTCCCTCCCCCCATCACCTCACATGCTTCTTCTGTGTGTATTTCTTTTTGTTTTTATGGGGTTTTTTGGAGCAATTTAAACTTCCAGTTGTTTATTTTCACAAAAGAAAATAAAATTGCAGTTGCAAGACCTTTTCTGAGTATTTTAGTCCTTCTGTTGAATCAAGCCCCCATCTTCATACCAAGCCGTGTGCTGGATTTTTGTGGGGCCCAGGGAGGGGAGAATATGAAAACATGCCTGACGGAAAAATGCAACCCAACGTTCAGCCTCAAATGTACAGAGACCAGTCAGCATCAATAACTGAGATCCAAAGAGAGGAATCTTTATTTTCATTTATCTTATAATTGCCAAGATATAAGGGGGGCCTTTGTCATTTTGCATGGTACCTAACACCACCATTAATTTGTCTAACAGCTTTATTGAGCTCTAATTCACATAACATGCGATTTACCCATTTGAAGTATACAATTCAGTGGGTTTTGTGTGTTCAAACTTGTGCATCCATCATCACAGTCAATTTTAGGACATTTTCACTGCCTCAAAAAGGAACCGAAAACCCTTTAGAAGACATCCCTAATTCCTCCCTTCAACCCCCACAGTCCCAGGCGACCACAAATCTATTTTCTGTCTCTATTTGTCTACTCTGGACACGTCATTTTTTTTTTTTTTTAAGCTTGTTTATTGAGAGAGAGAGCACAAGCCGGTGAGGCACAGAGAGAAGGAAAAACAGAATCCCAAGCAGGCTCCACGCCATCAACACAGAGCCCAATGTACAGCTCAAACTTGCAAACTGTGAGATCATGACCTGAGCCGAGATCAACAGTTCGATGCTTAACTGAGCCACCAAGGCACCCCTGCACATGTCATTTAAATGGGACCATACGGGGGGCTGGCTCAGTCAGAAGATCATGTGCCTCCTGATCTCAGGGACATGAGTTCAGGCCCCATGTTGGGTGTAGAGATCACTTAAATAAATAAAAGTTTTGGGGCGCCTGGGTGGCGCAGTCGGTTAAGCATCCGACTTCAGCCAGGTCACGATCTCGCGGTCCGTGAGTTCGAGCCCCGCGTCAGGCTCTGGGCTGATGGCTCGGAGCCTGGAGCCTGTTTCCGATTCTGTGTCTCCCTCTCTCTCTGCCCCTCCCCCGTTCATGCTCTGTCTCTCTCTGTCCCAAAAAAAAAAAAAAATTTAAATAAAAAAAATAAATAAATAAAAGTTTTAAAAAAAATAATAAATGGGATCATACAACACATGGTCCTTTTTCATTGACTTCTTTCAGCCTATGATTTTCAAGGGTCATCCATGTTGTAGCATGTCTCAGTACTTCATTCCCTTTTCTACTTGTGATGGTACAACATATGTAATATAAAATTTGCCATTTTAAGGGTGCCTGGGTGGCTCACGTCAGTTAAGCATCAACTCTTGATTTCAGCTCAGGTCATGATCTCACGGTTCATGGGTTTGAACCCCGCATCAGGTCCAGACTGACTGTGCCAGAGCCTGCTTGGGATTCTCCCTCTCTGCTCCTCCCCTGCTCACACACACACTCTCCCTCCGTCTCTCTTATAAAATAAACAAACATTTTAAAAATCTGTGGTTTTGTATTTTAAAAAATTTTTAATTAAAAAAAAATTTGCCATTTTAACTATTTGTAAATGTACTCAGTGGCACTCATTACATTCACAATGTTGTGTCACCACCAACACTATTTGCAAAACTTCATCACCCCAAACAGAATCTACATAACCATTAAGCAATAACCTCCCTCCATCCCACTGCCCCCCCCCCCAGCCCCTGGTAAACTCTAATCTACTTTCCATCAAATTTCCTTGAATTTGCCTATTCCAAATAGTCTATGTAAGTGGAATCATCAAACATTCGTCCTTTTGTGCCTGGCTTATTCGACTTAAATCAATGTTCTCCAGGCCATCCACTTTGTAGCATGTATCCAAATATGTTTCCTTTTTTATTTTTTATTTTTATTTTTTTTGAGCTTTGCTAAAATACTTAAGTCTTCCTTTACCTTTTTGAGTACTTGCCAGGTTTTTTTGTTTTTTGTTTTTTTGTTTTGTTTTGTTTTACCCTACTCAGACATAGCTTTTTTTTTTAATTATAAATGTATATAATATAAAATTTACCATTTTAACTTAAAAAAAATTTAATGTTTATTTTTGAGAGAGAGAGACAGAGCATGAGCGGGGAAGGGGCAGAAAGAGAAGGAGACACAGAATACGAAGCAGGCTCTAGGTTCTGAGCTGTTAGCACACACAGAGCCCGACGCAGGGGTCAACCCAGGAACTGTGAGATCATGACCCGAGCCGAAATCAAGAGTCAGACACCTAACCAACTGAGCCACCCAGGCGCCCCTTTTTTAACTTTTTAAATGGACAATTTAATGGTGTTAAGTACATTCACAACATCATGCACCATAACCACTGTCAATTTCCAGAACTATTTCATCATCCAAAACACAAACTACTCATTAAACATTAACTCCCCCTGACCCCCAGACTTCACGAACCTCTAATCTACTTTCTATTTATGAATTTTCCTATTCTCAGTATCTCCTATAAATAGAATCCTACAATATTTAATATTTGTCCTTTTGTGTCTGGCTTATTTCACTTAGCACAATGCTTTCAAGATTCATCTACATTGTGGCACGTATCAAAATTTGATTCCCTTTTACAGCTGAATAATCCATTATGTATACAAGCCATTGTTTATCCGCTCATCTATTGATGAGTACATGGAGTTTTTTTTTATACCTTTTGGCTATTGTGAACTGCTTTAAACATATGAGTATGTTTGAGTCCCTGTGTTCAGTTCTTTAGGGTGTATATCTAGGAGTGGAATGGCTGGGTCATACGGTTAACTCTGTGTCAACTTTTTGAGGAATTGCCAAACTGTTTTCCATAGCAGCTGCACCATTTTACATTCCAACCAGCAATATATGAGGGTCCAATTTCTCCACATCCTTACCAGCACAGTTTTTCTTTCTTTGTTTGTTTGTTATAGCTATCCTGGTAGGTATGAAGTGGCATTTCAGTGTGATTTTGATATGTATGTAATACTAATAATGTTGAGCATCTCTTCACATGCTTATTAGACAGTTTTCCCAGACTATTCTATTTGTTGAAAAGACTTCTGTCTTAGCACACCCTTATTGGAAATCAGCTGACCATAAATGTAGAGGCTGATTTCTGGACTCTATTGACTTCTATCCAACTCATCTGTATGTCTTTATGCCAGTACCACACTGTCCTGATTACTGTAGCTCTGTAGTAAGTTTTATTTTTTTAACAATGTTTATTTTTGAGGGGGGGAGGGGTAGATTACTTAAATAAAAACTTTTTTAAAAAATCTTTAAAAAAAAAAAAAAAGGTTCATTTATCAATTCACTTCTTTTAGCCAGAACAGTCACATTTCTGAAATAATTTGGTAAAAGATTTCTCACTTCTCTGTGATTCTTTTTCTCTCCTCAGTAATGAGTGTGTGAGAGAGAGATTTCTTACAACAGGAAAACATTGAGAAGCATGTGAAAGAGTTTTTAAATAACAAAGTACTTGGTCCTGAAAACTATATTTATGCCACGTACTGTTCCTTGAAATTCTGAAGACTTTCAACTGACTAGAACTACATGGCATATAACCTAAAGATTGTACTCAACAGACTATTACAGTGTTATTTCCCCTGGTGGTTGTAGTATTTTTTGGTAGGATTACATTTCAACCTTAGTTAACTGGAATATTTTCTGATGTACTTTTGTGTCTCACAAAGACTTATGTCCTGGACATCATTTACTCCTAATCTGGCTCTACTCCAGCCTCATCACCTGCCATGTTCCTTATTGTCTGTTATCTGGCAATCCTGTCCTCGTCTTTAAGACTTACACGAAATGTCATGTTCCCACCTGCCTCCAGACCTTTGCACACACTGTACACTCAGCCAGGAGAGCTCACCTTTTCCCCTCAACTTCACCTGGGAAATACACTCTTTGGCTCTCAGCCCAAAAGTCCCTTTCTCAACAGAGATCACAGTTTCGGCACTTTGCTTTCTTGGCATTTCTTAGAATGCATACTCACACACACACAATTTCCATAAATAATTAATATTTGTATTCTCCACTAGATTACATGCTCCATTAAGTTAGCTCGCCTGGCAAATGTTTATAAAAGGATTTCAAGCGGTAATTAATGTATAAACAACAGCACTTTAAACAGTGGGATACAACTATTTACCCAATAATATCAACTTGGAGGAAAATGGATATGCATAGAAAAAAATACACCAATTAAGACAGAAAAGAAAATGAATGCTTTTGTATTTGTTTAAAAAAAACTCACGCTAGATGGGAACACAACAAAGGTAAGTGGTAACCTGTAGAATGGTAGGGAGCAAGAACTTTCTAATGTATACCTCTTTTTTTTTTTGTATACCTCTTTTTTAATATCCCATTTTGATTTCTGAACCATTAGAATATATTACCTAATCAAAAATATTAAATGTTTGCAAGACAGAAAATACACTAAAACTTTAATAGTGATTATCCTGGAAAGTGGGACAACGATTTTGTTTTCTATTTCTACAGGTTCACTAAATTTTCTACAGTGAATATGAGTAATTTCCATGACCAGAAAAAGGATGTATTTTTTGGAAAAGATCTCTGGGGACCTCGGAGAGCAGTTTCTGTGGGGTCGGGAAAGAGAGGAGCTGGGATGGGAAGACTCCCGCTACAAAGGTGGCAGGATGGGTGTCTGTTTCCAGATAGGAGACACCAGAGTACAGCACGTTTGTGTGCTACAGCGAAAGAACCACGAGAAAGGGAGAAGTTCAAAATGGGAACACAGGTTGGAGCCAAGAGGGGCCGAACCCCAGTGACGTCACTCCCATGGGATCACCCGCGGACCAGGGAGCTCCTGTTCGACCTGTATCGTCTCGGAAGTACAAGGGGAGAGAAGGAAAAGGAGAGTGATGTTTGTAGCGGCTGCTATGCAGAGAAGAAACCTGGAAAAGGAGGAGACTGTTAGATGCCTGCACTGAAGAATTGGACCACAGCACAGGGTAAGGGAGGAACCACCAGACACACCGGCCTTTTCGTAAGCTCCTCCCTTCGCCTGAGCGTGCGGCGGAA